CCGCTTAACTCACTCACTGACTCGCTAACTCACTCACTGATCGCTAACTCACTCACTGACTCGCTAAACTCCACCTCACTGACTCGCTAACTCACTCACGACTCGCCTAACTCACTCACTGACTCGCTAACTCAAACTCACTGACTCGCTAACTCACTCACTGACTCGCTAACTCACTCACTGACTCGCTAACTCACTCAACTGACTCGCTAACTCACTCACTGACTCGCTAACTCAGCTCACTGATCCTAACTACACTCACTGACCGCTACTCACTCACTGACTCGCTAACTTTCACTCACTGACTCGCTAACTCACTCACTGACTCGCTAACTCACTCACTGACTCCAACTCACTCACTGACTCGCAACTCATTCCACTGACTCCCGCTAAACTCAACTCACTGACTCGCTAACTCACTCACTGACTCGCTAACTCACTCACTGACTCGCTAACTCACTCACTACTCGCTACTCACTCCACTGACTCGCTAACTCACTCACTGACTCGGGCTAACTTCACTCACTGATCGCTAACTCACTCACTGACTCGCTAACTCACTCACGACTCGCTAACTCATGACTCGCTAAACTCACTGACTCCTAAACTTCACCTGACTCGCTAACTCACTGACTCCTAACTCACTGAACTCGCTAACTCACGGACTCGCTAACTCACTGACTCCTAACTCACTGACTCGCTAACTCACGACTCGCTAAATCTCACTGACTCCCTAACTCACTGACTCGCTAACTCACTGACTCGTAAACTCACTGACTCGCTAACTCACTGACTCGCTGAACTCACTACTCGCTAACTCACTGACTCGCTAACTCACTGATCGCTAACTCACTGACTCCTAACTCACTGACCGCTAACTCACTGACTCGCTAACTTCAACTGATCGCTACACTCACTGAATCGCTAACTCACTGACTCGCTAACTCCACTGATCGCTAAACTCACTGACTCGCTAACTCACTGACTCGCTACCACTGACTCGCTAACTCACTGACTCGCTAACTCCACTGACTCGCTAACTTCACTGACTCGCTAACTTCACTGACTCGCTAACTCACTGACTCGCGAACTCACTGACTCGCTAACTCACTGACTCGCTAACTCACTGACTCCGCTAACTCACACACACACACACTCATTCACTCACTCGAGAGTGTGGTTTAGTTACTGACGGATTTTCAGACATTTCAATAGGTTGTACCTTCTGCTTAAATTTGTATCAATGTTAAAAAATTCTGTTTAATTTCATTTTATAAGATTTACACAAGGTCATAGTGAAAATTCTTTCTTCGGATCCCCTCTACCCGGACCTATAAGTGTGAAAACATTCATTCTAAACCAGTGGCATATATGTTTTACAAGAAATTAATTGCCCATATTTTCTGAATTACAAGCCTTCATATAAAAGTATGAATACAAAAAATTTCGCCATGTGTGTATGGCTACTTAAATCAATTTTATTTTTTCGTTTTAAATCTCCTTCTTCCCTTTTTTTTGGGGGGGGGCTTTCACCTGAGTTGCAGACTGAATGCTGCGCGTGTTCACCAATGTATTTCATTTGAAGCGCAGTGGGGGATGTGTGTATTTACGTTGCAGACCTACTTCTGGGAGTGTTCATCAATGCCTTTCATCTGTAGGGGGCGTTCACTTTCATTTCAGACCTACTGCTAGCCGCGTTCATCAATGCCTTTCATCTGAAGAGCAGTAGGGGTTTTCCCCTTCGTTGCAGACCAAATGCGGTGCGTGTTCACTAATGCCTTTCACCTGAAGCGCAGTAGGGGGTGTTCACCTTCATTGCAGACCTACTGCTAGCAGTGTTCATCAATGCCTTTCATTTGTAGAGCAGTAGGGGATTTC